AGCTCGAGCTATGCACATATACACATAGATATATATTATGTATATGTAAGGATTCGAATATCCCCTCCGCGAGTTGCAGAAAGGATGGCCACTGCCTCTCTGAGCCTGCACACGTAAGACGGCTAAAGAATCTATATATGTACATATATATACATATATGTTCCCTTGCGTTCACTTGCTTCGTTCGTATGCGCGTGAATATATAACAGGGGGTGGAAAAGACCCGGGCGTCGCACACTATCATCAAGTGTGTGTGAGAATAATGGCCGTCCGATATCGAACTTCTGCACATACGACACCATTGCCGCCCCTGTTAAAGTGATTGCTTTGAATTGAGCCGAATATTTATTATTTACTCCTTTTTTAATGACATTTTTAATTGTTTTTACTTCGTTACTTCTTTATTAACATTAAGATTAATTGAAAATTAATTTTTAATTTATTTCTATTTTAAAATGTGAGGTCGTTGGAGAATTATTAATGAGGGTGAGAATTATCAACTGATCTCTGGAATAGGCTATTATGTTTGGAGATGGAATTCCATCAGCTTTCGAAGCTTGTCGAGAATGAATGCAATTGATTATTTTGTGTTTACATGATATTGGGATTTTTCTCTTTTTTTTTTTTTTAGGAGAATTGGAAAGTAATTTTTGCCCTTGTTAATAATGTCCTTGATCTCCCCTAATTTACATGAATAAATCTTGAATTGGATTTTTTTGTAGTGGAAAAGAACCTCTGGAATTTTTATTTGGATTTATTACGATTTTCGTTCGAAGAATGAACTATGACAATTATTTTTCAGCATTTATGATAATAATATTGTACAATATAATTTTTTTTAATAATAAAATGTATTAAAATATTAGAATTTTTTTGTAATATTAATGTGCAATAAATACTCGTAATAATTAAAAAGAATCAGAAGAATTCCAATTAAGAACTTTCATTTTTTCATTTTTACTTCAAAAATAATTTAAAATAATTTTTTGCTAATTTTTGTAAATAATTCCCAAAGATAATTATTAACAATAAAAAATAATAATACTACAATTAAAAAATGTATATTTATTTATTCATAATTTTTATTGTCAAGCATTTATGTTCATTCTCCATTACTTTAAACTCTCAACCATAACTATTAGCAATTTTATATTCCCAGTAGTCTTATGTACTTTTTATGCATTTATTTTTCACTACACTCAGTCCATTTTCTGCACTCATCGACACAGTAAACCCATAATGTTTTCGCTTTCAGGAAGCTTAATGTCACTTTGCCTTTTATTGTTATTGCTAGGTATAATAATGTTCTCAGAAACTTGGGGTGTTTTACTGAAATTACCAATTTCAAGTTGTAATTACAGTAATAGGCAAGTGCGTGCATAAATAGGTTCAACTTAGAATTACACTAATGAGACAAGTTACACGATGATGGTAACTAGACTTACAATTTAACTTCAGCTTTAGCTTTATCTCTACAAAAAGACTTGTATATAATATTAATAAATTGCTACTCTCAGTAATATATTATTTTATATGCTACGTCCATTCATGCTATATATTTAAATGAGTATCTTTTCGTTAAACAATTTATTTAATTTTATTAAATAACCATTTTGTGATACATTTGCAGTGAAGATAGTTATTATTCACGAATAAAAGAGTAATGAGTTTGAGATTAGACTTGAAAATTTTTAAGATAAAATTCTGACTAAGGAAGAGGAGTTGAATAAAATATTAATAGGAATAGTTAAGAAGTTCTTTTATACTATAAAAAAAATTGCATCAAGTTGCATTTAAATTAAAAGCTAGCAAGAAATATTTTTTACTTTATTTTTGATCAACTAAATTATTTAAATACTTGCAGTAATTGGAGAAAAATTAAGTCAATTCAAAATATTCTGCTTTTTAAAGTAATAGTAAATATTAAAATATTTTTCTAGGACTCGATTAATCTATTGCATAAGTGAAATAAATTTTTTGTTCAATAAAAAATTATTTATAAAAACTAAAAAATCTATTTATTATTATACTGATATCAAAAAAAATATATATCATACATTGTTAAACAATATAAATTTTTTAAATTTATCTTTTAATCATGAACATGGCATAATCATATTTTACTTATAAAAAATTGTCATGCAAATTTTTTACAGCCTTTCATTTAAATATCTAGTAAAACCATACATTGTAATAGATAATAAATAACAAATTCATTGAATAAATTTTTTAATGAGCTTTAAAAATAGTTTTTCAATATTATTCAGTTATTTGTAGTGATTTAATAATTTTATTGTTCTTTCTGCAAATTGTAAAACATCATTTTTCATATGATTATTTTAAAAAAATCAATCATCCATATTGGTAATGTACCATATTATAAATTAATGCTGCAAATAAAACAAACCAGGTAATGAAAAAAAATAAATAAATGAGACATATCTAAGTAGCCCTTTTTCCAGTCTCATCACGAAGAAAGAGGAGACATAAGGGAGGTAACAGGTGGCGCGCGGAACTAAACACTCCTTATTTTCCCCCCCTGAATTACTCGGCTTGATAATACTTTTATTTTCTTGAGAATCAATGTATTTGATGGAGACTCGTGGACGTAAAGATTATATAAAAACTGGTGCTTCAACTGTCTGGACTTGTCTTGATGGCAACTTGTGCGCATCATCACCGACTTTATAGTGGATTCCGTGCACCATTTTACACCCTATTTGTGAATCCACAAGATTCCTGTGTCCCCGGAGCTTATTTCCTTTGCAACATTTGAGTGATTGTCCGAAGAAGATGTAGAAACTGATTTGAAACTGTCAAGATAGCGAAACGAAGAGTAATAATGCCTTCAAGTAATGATACAATTCAAATTTTTTTTTCAAACTCTCAGCAGAATGGAGAATAATGGAAGGAGACCGAAATCAATTTTAATTGACTGAAAAAGTGAGTGGCAATGGCCCTCGAACGTCACCTGCGCGTCAATCTGTCGAAATTGCGCGTGAAGTTGTGATGACGAGAACTTGCCGAGAAAAGGAAGAGAAAAAAAAAATACAAAATGTTAAAAAAAAAGTGTAGAGAGAAGTCTAAGAGTGAGACAACAAAGAAAGAAACGAATGTGAAGGGGTGGCTGTAAAGAGACAACCTAGAAGTAAAGCACATCATGGATCAAGAAACGGATGCACGCTTGGAGTGATCCTTACTCCCTTTTCTCTCAACGTATTTCACTCTGCCGGCACTTTGATGAAGGACATCTCACCGCTAATTATGATTAATTTGCGAGACGAACGTGCGAGCCTCCTGTGTATAGCCACTGTAGACATCTCGAGGATTATTTCTATCATCCTCATACTCAGGAGGAACGTAATTAATATTCTCAGCAGGACAGCATCTGTATATAACCCCATGAATACGTCATTTAAGACGCTATAAGACTATACTAATTACTAGTATGATCAACTCTACTCAACTGTAATGTGAATATATTTGTTATTGTCACTACCACAAAGAGATACTTAGGGTTATTTTTTTTATTTTTCCATTTCTCTGATTATTATTAATTATTAAGGTACTTTAATTGAGAATAATAAATAATATATCGTTGTTATTTATACTTTGGTGTTGTTGATGATTGTGGTTGAAAGCTAGGCTTTTGATAGTGTCATTAAATGGTATAGAAATGTGAGCAATTTATCTAATAGTGAAAAGAAAAATGACGGATGTTGGAATAAAATACTTGGTCATCATTTTTAATAATAAGGAAATATTAGGTTTTGTAGATTATTCTTATCATCAAAGTGATAAATAAATCTTCAAGTGAAAATGTTTTTATGCAATTATTTTTCATTTATGTGAACAATAATACCATGAAGTGAATTATTTTAAAGTTCAACCTTTTATAACAAACAATAGGATATTGAAGATTTCTCTTCTCTACAAAATAAGTATTTAGGTTTTTATATTAATCTGGCCCAAGTCGAAATATAGGTATTTGTTGAATACTTTTAAGTCCTGATTTTTGAGTATTTAATATTACTCAGTTATTACTTTTTTATTTTTATTAATAAATTCTGAAGAAAGTTATTTTGATGAATATCTGAGAGACAATGAGTTTGAATTAATTAAATATTATTTTTCTTCATTGAAAAAATGTCAAGTATTAAAACACACTTTGAAAGCGGCAAAAATGATTTAAAAGGACCTATATTTCGACTAGGGTGACTATTTCAATTCCAGAATGATAAATAATGATGCAATCAACAACTCTACTAGGGGTTTTGGTACCAAATTGCAGCATTCAAAGTCAAAGATTCTACTAAAAATAAAGGAATTAATAAACATGTAACTAAGTAGAGGTAGAGGTACTGTCAGCTAGTATTTAAATGAAAATAAATAATTGAATGTAGCTCGAGGATACACGAGCCTTTTCGGTAGCAAACAGTTAGATTTAAGTTTGAGTGTGAGTAAGGTTAATCGGTTGAGTTGGATTTTAATAAACGGTTTTGGGGGAGGCGAGAGAACTGCTCTCTCTAGGGTGATGCATAGCGTAGAAAAGGTCATCCTTTTGCGCCAAGACGGCGAGGCAAACAAAACTGGCCATCAATAACACCCATTCGCCTACCTTATGCCTTTTAGTCGGGTGTTGCAGCATTAGCAGAAGCACTGTGGCTGCGCCTTTGCCATCAGCTTGTCGAGCCGCGGACAGTGAGATAGGCGGAGATCGTATCTCCTTGGTTATTAATTAACTGGCAAGAAGGGAAGACCTCTTTTCATCACCTTGCCAAACGATCTTGGCAAGTCTGCAGGAATATTCAACTTAAAGACCTTTTCCTATCTCCCTCTCTTCTCATCTTTGTTTATTTATCATTTTAGATTTTTGACACACCTATTATTTCATATTTTTCATTGTCACTTGCCATCTTTAACTCATTTATCCCTGACTATGGGTATAAATAACAGTAATAGATGATGGTAATCATTGTAATAGGAACGAAAATGCTCACCCATTGATTGAAGTTCGACTTATGAACCAGGATAATGCTGATTTCGCTAATGAATGCCAGGCTTGGAGAGGAAGAGAGTCAGACCTTTCTAATGATCGAGATAGAAACTCTTGAGCACTTTTATCTGGCTGATCATGACATTCTCCTACTCCTAGGGGAATCCATAGTTTTAGAATGTCTTCTCGTATTTTGCTTTTGTCTACTCGGTACCACTGAAATAGAACATTATTTTTATTAATACAATCATCACAACAATTATTTAATTCACTAATAAAACAATACTGATTAATTCATAAAATAATAAACACTCCTATTTATTAACTATTTTCAAAATAAATCCTACACTAAGAAAAAAATTTTTTCTGTATAAAAAAATGTTTATTTAATGAATAAAAATAATTTTAAATATTGACAATCAAATATTGAATTCAATTATTAAATATTATGAGTAGATTAAATTTTGTTTGATTGTAGTGAGCAAAAATTTGCAATTAAATTGATGAAATTCATTTGAAAAAAAATCAGTAAAAATAATTTCCTGCCAATTAATTATTTTATAACTAGAAAATCCTTGATAATAGATGAAAATGTATTGAAAAGTTAATTAAATTTCCTTATTGAATGTATCTATAAAATGGAATTCATAACTGATAAGAAAATATAGAAATGGTTTCAAAAATCGATTTAATGAACCGCTGAATATAATAGCCTTAACTCCGGTACGAATTCGATGAGGTTATACGAAAATGCAATCACCATCAGCCTTTTTGTCTCGTTTCGCTTGGGGGACAAAAGAGAGGTGGAGGATAATTAGGGATGCTTTAGAATCTCGCGACGGGGAACACTTGTTGCTGTCCCTTTCTCTCACTCTCATTTCTTCTTAACCCTTTTTGTCCGCGTTCCCGTCTCGGTGTGCTCTCGGTTCGAGTGCAAAAGCGAGCCGGGAGCAAAAAATACTACAAGTCAAGTCCCAAGTGAAGGTTTTAGATTGTAGTGGAAGAGTAATTAACACTGCCACCAAGGTATATACTAACTTTGTAAGTTAAGTAATATATCCATCTGTACATCATTTATTTTTTTATTGTAATAAGTAATTACAAAAGAGTTGAATAAAAAATTGAGCAAAAAAAATTATCAAGTATCAAGCGACGACCATTTGAGACTCGAGTGACGTTAATGAAATTTTTTAATTAGATAAAAAATTAAAGAATAGAGAAATGATGAAATTTAGCCTGAAGACGAAAGACATTTGACGAGAATTAGCTGGAGGGGAAAGAGAGAAATCAATTTGATGCGAATTCTTAGTATCCCGTGACGTTAATTGATTTTTCTAATTAAAGCTATGACATTTTAAAAAATACTAAATTGATATTCATCAAGTAAACATACGTCTAGGATATGAGGAATAAAAAATTAAGTATACTTCAAGTCTAGAATGTTAAAACACTAATTGAATTGTAATCCAATAGAATTATACAGAAATATTGCAATGATTTAATTTATGGATACTTTAATAGTATGGACACATTTATGATTGATTTAAATGGCGATTACGTGAGTAAAGGTCGATAGCGGTAAAATAAAAACATGACTAAAATATACAATATAGACGACAACATGTCAAGCATATCACTTTACCTGACTTTGCGATTGACAGTTCCATATAATAGACTTAGTCAATAATTTTTCTTGTAAACTTGCTTTAAATTTATAAGTGAAAAAATTATCTTTACATTTTTTTTTTATTGTTATGATCGATTTATAATCATTATGTAATTATAATTAATCTTACATAAAATGTCATTACATTGTATTAATTAATTGAAACGATTACAAAGTTGTATCATTTTTTTTGTTCAGGACAATAAATTATTTTTATCAAATACTAAGTTGATTTTTTTTCTTTAATAGAGTTAATAAAAATTAATAAGACTTTTATTAAATTAAAAAAAATTTTCCCAACTCTGTGTTTAAAAGAGTAAATTGTTTCTTATAAATAATTATTTAATGAATAACCAAGCAAGTAGCTTTTCACATGAAATGACAACCTGAATGAAAAATAAAAAGATATATTCAAAAGAAAACCTTCTTCCACAAAAAAGGATCCAATCAATATATTTTAAGTTTTTAAATAAATTATAATGATCATTTCATGGAAGCATAAATATTAATTACAGAGTGATTATTTAAAAATAAAAATATACTAGCAATAATGACTGTAATTAAAGCACGACAGTAATTATTCTGATAGTATTTAAATTGAAGAGCATGGACTAACAGACATCAATTTAAATGACAATAACCACTTAAAAATGCATCTCGTCCTGTAGACCTCTGTACTGTGTGACGATTGTAAAGACACTTGTAAGCTTCGTCAGCACGATACCACAGCTGAAAGAAAGAAGGAGAAGAAGAAGTATTAAAAGAAGCCAGGGGGTGTACGTGTAACTGGTGTAGAGACCTTCAAGCACCACAGAAGTCACCACTAATGACACGAAGAGGAATGCTGTCCGGCAGCGCACAACCGCACTCTATGTCGGTAGCCATTTGTAATTCTCTGAGCACAAAAAGTCAAGAAAAAGGGGAATCAAAGTGTGATGATGAGAAGAGAAAAACTGAATAAATGATCCATAAAAAGAATATCAAGATAATTAATACTTGGTGTAGGCTAATTACTCTTTAAAGGTCTTTGGATCTTTGTTAAAAAATTGTTGCACTTTAAATAAATATATTTTAATAAAATATTATTGCAATTACATTCTCGAAAGATTAGCAAAAATAACTGAAGATGTTAATTAAAAGAGGTCGTTGCATGACTAATAGTATAAGGAAAACCTATGTTAACATTTAATTTAAAGATAAATGATAATATTTGATATTAAATGAAACTTGATAATTATAATTAATTTATTACATTTATTATTGCTAAACTAAACGGTGAAATTTATTGATAAAGTAAACTTGATTTCTTTTAATTATTAGTTATCATTTTGAAAAATTTTATAAATTAATCTTCAATTTTGCTTAATACAGCACTTTGTTCTTCATCATCATCAAGCATTAGAAATGATATTAAAAAATTCAATTTAAAATTAATTAATGATTAGATTAATTTTTTTTAACGTAATTACTATTGAAACAACTTTCAAATGGTAAATAAAAAAATTTTGAAACACCAGCATCAATAGATTCAATTAATTTTTAATATAAATCAACGACTGCTCAAAATAAATCGTCCTCATCACAATTAAATTAAACACAAACATCAAATTATCAAAAAAAAGTAATTAATAATAAATATGAAAGTTAATTATTTATAATCACTGCTTAAAAATTAATTCATGACATAATCTTAATCATTATTTCTTTGTGTTCAAGTTCATTATACAATTAAAATAATTAAATCAATAAATTAAACAATTTTTCGAGAAAAAAAAAATCAATTTAAATGAAATAATATGTTTATTAATGGAATGTAGATTTGTAAACACTCCTATAACGGTTAAATGTAAAATTTTTTACCTTTCTCCGCTTCAGGACACAAATAAAATAATTATTTCGAAATATTCCATCATTCAAAAAGTCAGCCATCATTCAATAAATATATTTGTATCCATGACTATTAAAAGAATTGCTATGTAAAATGTATTATTATCGGTAAAATCTAAAAACGATAATAATGTAATATGCGTGACAAATAGCACACAAAATAACTGTATCAAAAAGTAGTAATCATAACTCGATCTAGTGATATGATCGGCAATGGGACCTTAAGTGAGAGAAAGATATCAGCACGCACAAGAATCGTCACGATATACCATGTATTTGTTCAAATAGGTGCGAAGAATTATGTTGCACAGACTTCCCAAAGACTCGACGAGTACACGATAACAGCCAACTTGTCCACGATGACGTGCCAGTCACGCATACGCGTTTTGCACATGGCATCAGCCGGAGATGGAACGAAAGAATCGGCCCAGGACATCACGGCAATAACATACTTAATAGCACAGGAAGAGAATGCGTTTGTCTTGCGATCCAACACGCTTCAGGAATTCCAAGAATGTATACGACCGGAACGTGTAACAGCCAGAATCGTCAAGTCAACTATATAAAATTTATTCTTCTTTTCTTTCTCTTTATTCCCTTCTCCTTTCCTCGCACACTACTTCTATTTACATGTTATTATTTTATGCAACTCTTTCTATCGTGTCGATTCATTTTATTCTTCTATTAAAGATTATTTAATTTATTTTATTTATGCTGTAGAAAGTTATCAAGCTGCAGTTGCTAAATAAATTTGATAACATTACCATTGGATAACAAAGATCAGAAGCTTTAATAAAAATTTACTTTATTTAAATTAATTCAATTTAATTTATATTTTATATATTTAATATTCTTTAAGGATGAATAACATTTTTATAAAAATATATTGACTAGATAACTTTGGTTATTTTTATAGATTCTTGATTTTATTATTAAAATCAATGTTTATTGATAAATAAAATATTAATAAAAGCTTTAAGAAAATTGTATCAATTGTTAGATTGTCAAAAAATAAATTTATTATTATATGAAATGCACTTTACTTTAGAAATAAATGAAAAGATTTACTACTCATCAATGAAATATTTTGTATTTTGATCTATGACTTGTTGCCAATGTTTAGCCAAAGCATGAATGCTATGCACGTAGAACTGTTGGATTTTTGCTGAAGATGTTGGACAGTTGAATTAAAAAGAGTTAGAAAGAATGGTGAAGTTACAATTGGGCAACACAATAATTAATTAAAAGTAAATAAAATCTTGTGTGATTTTGCAAATTCCAAATTTTGGCATATTTTCACGTTTCAAGGTCTCCAGATTTTTTTTCAAATTTATTTATTGTGGGTTCCATTAAAGATAAGAAAAAATGTACTTTAAAATTATTATATCAACAAAATTACCTCAAAAAAAAAATTTTTTTTTCCAGCTATTTGAAAATATCATTTTCCTTGATCCAACTATAGAATTTTCCATTAATAATTTCGATATTTCCATAAAAAACATTTATCAATTTCTCGGAAAATTGGACGAATATTTCTGTCTCATAAATGTCTATACAATCAAGCGCCAGATATTCGCCCAAGGGATCATTCTGGGTGTTGAAGAGTGCGGGGGAGTGTAAAAGTATGAGGTTGATTGGAAAAGCAACCGGTTTAACTAACCGT